ACCAGCCACGGGCCCTTGCCACGTTGAGGTAAAGGCCCCTCCACCACAACCGCCCCAGACTGAGGCTCCATCAACTGAGGCTGCGGCAGCTGCCACGACTGCGGCTGCTCCGACAACGGCGGCCCCTCCGACAGTGACCTCTGACCCCACGGCCGTTGCGCAGCAGACCCCTCAGGAGGAGGTCCCTCAAGACGGAGATTGGAACAGTGGAGGATGGTCCTGGTGGCAGGGCTGGTCGTGGCAGCAGGATGCTCAGTGTGCTGCCTCGTTTAAACACAGATGTTCGTTAGAGTGGTCTTGTGAGAGTCGAGACTGGAGTGCTGGTTTGTTCTTGCATTCTCAGGTGAAGGTCCTTCTGAGACAACGAGCCCTGTTTTAGCCAACGGCATCGTCTTCGAGCTCGCCGGGTTCGTCCGAAGTGATCAGGCTGTCAATGAGTTTTGGTTCCTGGCCAGCCACAACAACGTGGCAACATAAGAGCCTGAGGCCCTTCTTAGCTGCGCAGCTCGCAGGCCTCTCCTTCAACAAGTGAAAAAAAGGAGTGCTGCGCCTGAGTGCTTGGGTTTTTTAACGATTCACGTCCACGATTGGATGCAGTGTCCGTCCTTTCCCCTGTCTGTCAGGCTGCCCGGCTGCTGCAGCGGCTCTTCCCGCAGACTTCCCAGTGTGTCGGAGAGTCAAGTTAGTCATTACTCCATTCCTCATGTCAAGGACAGTCTGCAAAAAATGTTGCAGACGGTGTCGTGTTGGAATTCTCCCGGCCCAGGTTCTTCACGCAGCAGGAGTCGACGAAGCAGACAGCCACTGAGTGAGGTCATGATGCCACGGAGTGGTGGCGCCAGAAGTGACGGAGGTTGTTGCCACGACCCGCGGCAACCACCTCCAGCACTTCTGACGCTCCCACTCGGTGGTATCATCACCCACAATGCGAGGCAGGCGACACTTTCTTTCAGTCCGTGACAAAGCACGTTCTTCTCGACTCATGGACAGTCCATTAGAAAGTCGAGTTAGTAGGTCGAACCTGAAAGATAATTGCCAGGAGAAGCGCCGTGATGGTGCATGGCCCTGGACTGAAGCACGGCCCTCGTGAAGGCATGTGTCAGTAGGGTATTCCACAGCTGTAAGGCTTCTCAGTAGGATCCATGAAACTAAACATTTGAGTATGAATTATAGCGCATCGTATGCAACGGATGCATGACCTCAACGTTCAGGTCCCTCTACCGGACATGCGCCGCCACGGCGCTTTGCACAAGATGCGCCGGCACGGCGCTTGGTCCTTGTGTGGTCTTATGCTTGTTTTTTACTAATACAATGAAAATTAAACATGTCCTTTAAAAAAATACGCTATCTAATGTATTGCCATTTTAAACAGCATCGGGGGGAATGCGGCGTCACGGCGCTGAGGGCCCCATGAGCCTGCTGAATATTGCTATTCCTGTTTTTTAAATCATTAAACGGTATAGATAGAGTGGCACTCCTTGACGTTTTCATCCAGGTAGTATATTTTGAATTAGAATACATCATATACAACGGATGCATGACCTCAACGTTCAGGTCCCTCTACTGCACATGCGCCGCCACGGCGCTTTGAACAAGATGCACCGGCACGGCGCTTGGTCCTTACAGGTTGATCGTCTTCTTGTTTTTCTACTAATAAAACCAAGACTAAACATGTTTGTCTTGTAAATACATTGTTTTGCCATTTGTATAAGGCATTAAATATGCCGTGGCACTGTGCAGATCCCTTTACCCCGTGAGCCTGCTGATTGCTATTCCTGTTTTAACCAGACAAAGTTCTAAATTGAGATTTCGAAATAGAGTGGGTTACCCTTTGCGTCTTGCGCCGTCACGGTGCAATGCCGGCCATGCGCCGTCGCGGCGCATTGCAATTCATTCGTTTTAGTACCGGTGTCTCTCTATGAACATTCTTACTTGACAGAAATTGTTTGATTCATTCTGTTTGTTACAAAATATATACCAGTTAATTAATTGCATTGAAGAGTCACAAAGCCTCTTTGAATGAGGTTGTTCTTGGACTCATGCGCTGTCACGGCGCATGTTCTCTGATGCGGCGGCCCGGTGCTTGGTGGGTATGGTGCATAAGTGTAGATAGAGCAATCGTTCCAGACAGCTTACGTGCAGGTTTGCATTCTTGGAAGTCAAAGTGCTTGCTTTGATGGCTTGCGAGTCACGTCGTTCAGCTTAAGAAACTCAGGTTCTTCCACCCAGCCTCTGCCTCAGCAATCGAGCTGGATCCTCAGTCGAGAGACGGACCTTCCAGGAATACAGGAAAACATTGACTCATGCGCATGAATCACAGTGATGTTTGATGATGAGCCCAAGTGCTCAAAGAGAACCTCCGCCCTTCGGGCTTTGATTTGTAGTGGTTGATGGAGGACGCTCCGGCAATGAAGCCCTTCCTCGGTTGGGCGAGGTGGTATTGAGCAGCGTGAGCAAGGACTTTCCGGACTGGCAGCGGTCCTTCCTGGGTCACAGATCCACGTACTTTACGTGTTGCTCTGGTTTGGGCACTGCCGAAATCGCTTGCAAGCAGATTCGTGAAGCATCGGCAAAGGTCTTTCCGAAGCCCGTGCGGCTCATCTGTCGTTATGCAATGGATCCGGACCCCGATTGCCAAAGGGCTTTGCTTTTGCAGGACACGGGGCATCTTTGGTCCTCCATTTATGACTTCTTCCCAGAAAGCAAGAAGCAGAAGACAGGAGGTAATGCGGAAAGCAAGGTCCGTCACTTCTGCGACAGCTTCGACGCACGTAACGGCTCATCTTGCGAACGCCATGCTGGTTGCCGGTGTGTTCCTAAACGCACCCATGGCAGCATCTGTGGCAGTCCCTGCCAGCCATGGTCCCGCATGGGAGCCAAGCGAGGCCAGGGAGCATGACTTTGAGTCAGATATCATAAGATGTTGATATCAAGTCAATAGTTACATCCACCGCCGGCCCCCTGCAGGAATCGATGATCCCAGAACCAACGTCCTCTTTGGCTGGCTTGCAATGGTCAAGCAGCACCGGCTCTTCTGGGCCCTGCATGAGAATGTATGGGGATTTCCGAGTTTCGACTTGAATATTCAAGGTGGGTTGCCGTGTATAGGTCCAAGTTGTCACAAGTACTACTAGAGCCTTCGCTGGAAGCCCTGGCCCAGGATGGAGATGCTCGATGCAGCGTTGCCGGAGTTTCAGGTTTTTCACTTGAAAGGGAGCCCTGCTGACTGGGGTCACATTGGAATGGCCCGCCCACGTGTGTGGTCCATCGTGTACCATCGGGAGAAGGTAGAGGTGCTCTTCAATCCAGGCGAGGTCTATCAGATCCTCTGCTGCACCCTACGCAAAGGCTTGGGGAGCCTTCCTGCGTCCATCTTCTGGCAGCACACGCCGCCTGCTGACGTGGTCGCGATGGAGAACAGTATCAGGGAGCAGCGGCAGCTGGCAGCCCTGAGCTCTGGCCCATCAGATGACTGGTCCTACCTGCTGACAGAGAGCCAGCAGAGGCACAGCAAGCGTGTGAGTCCAGGTAAGGTCTGCAGCTTTTTTTAAATAGGTTTTCTGAGTGCAGCTCTCGTGGGACAATGTCTGTGAATGGCAGGCACTTGAGTGGTTATGAAGCGAAGTGGAGACAGCTTCATGGTGGTCCTTCTGATCTCGACGACGGCTGTGTCTTCGACCTGAGCCAGAATCCTGAGCACTGCTGTCTTTGGACGTCACGACACGGGTCCCTCCCGACCTTCCGGCGCAATAGTAAGCTATGGGTTCCGTGTTTGAAACGATTCCTCTTGCCGCGTGAGGCGGCCCTTCTCATGGGCTTCAGCGGCCCATCTTTGCAGCACGTGCATCAAAACAATGTCGGGAATGCGATGAGCTTGCAGACGGTGGGTCTGATGATTCTGGCTGCTCTTTTAAGTGCGGCCCCTCTCCCCAGGGCAGCTCCAGGCCCGGAAGTGCCTGGAGCTGCCCACGTGACTGCGGTGAAGAATTAAAAAGAAACTGCTTCGTTTTCTGTCGTGCACAAGTCATGGTCAGTCATTGACACAAGAGAAACTTTGAAACGTGCCTTGCTCGACTTTTACTTTGCTCCGCCCAGGTGGTCAGTCCATCAAGCGCCTCACTTCGGGCTGCTCCACGGCATTGCCATGGATTTGTTTACTTGGCGGTTTCCCGCTTCATGGGTGGGGGCAGTTCGCAACGAGCATGTGGCGGGTTCGCAATGGAGGCTTCCGGGGTTCGTATGCAGGCCGGGCGGGGTTCGCCACTAACCCTGCCGAGTTCGTAGCCGGAGGGTTCGTCGAAGCCCGGGTTCCTTTTGATTTTCAATTCAAAGCCAGGGTTCGCAGAACCCTGGCTTGGGTTCGTGGAACCATCTGTTTGGGTTCGTGGCAGGGTTCGTGCTAAGCTTCCTGTTTGCTGTCTTTGGGGTTCGTGCGCGGGTTCGTGGACACACGGTTCGCAGATCTTCGTTTGCTGCTCCTGGCTAGTTCCATACTGTATTGTTTGTCAGTCACTCGTAAGTGGCCCCAAACCATTGATGAGGCAAGTCAGGCTTCCAGTTAAGGCAGCTGCGGCCCAGGTCCCTCTCAGGAATCCTGACGAATGCGTCTGCTCGTGCTGGACAAAGACGAGGCCTTTGAATTGGTTGAGGTTCTTGCAGGTCGAATGAAAATAGCCTGAGACCCACCCCCCCCCCCCCCCCCAAGCAAGAAAAAGTCCGCAAGCTGAAGCATTGTTGCCCCAAACCCAACCCTGATTCGATGCCTCAACCCTTGGAAAAACTCCAAAGAATCAATTTGTTTTTTGGGTCTTCCTTTGGGTTCTTCATTCCTATCTGCTGTGTGACAGCTTGAGTCTATGAGACAGCAGCACCGACTTGAGAGTGGTAGGCCAATGCACTACGTTCAGTTCATTCAAATTCTTCAGTTTCTTTCATGAAAGTAATTTGTAATAGATGCATTGTAAGGAAATCTCATTAGCAGGCCTCTCATTGCTGTGAGCATGGCCCGCCAGCCTCCTAACCCACTCGTCGAGAAGTGCAAGGAAGTCCCTCACTTGGAGCACCTTGAGTTGCTCTTCTATGAAGACGACCAGAAAGGCTTGCTTCGGCACAAGACGACTGGGGAGGTGGTCCGTCTACCAAACGCCTTTCTGGGACTCCACTTTAACGAGCATGGCATGGCCTATCTGGAGATTGATGGGGCTGCGCCGATGTGGGCAAGCAGCTTGCTGAAGCATCATTTGTTCGAGGATGAACGGTCCTGCAAGTCGGAGGAGTTGCTGGAGAGGCTCTTCGTTGTCAGGAAGAGTCAGGCGGCCAATGATGGTCTTTCCCTGGAATGGTTGCAGGACCATCGTAGATCCCACAGCCTTCTGTATCCCCAGGACACGATGCGTGGTGCTTTCGAGGAGAGACCTTTGACACTTCTGTGCTTCCAGTGGGTTCCTCAGCACGAGTGCCAGTGCTACTGGCTGCTTCGGGCATTGACAAACGTGAAGAAGAAGGTTCTTCTCAAGAAGCTGCGTAAATCCTGGATCCCGGCTTTCAATGCCCGCAAAGTGGCGGGCTCCACGGACCATAAGACTCAGGGGCGTGACGACATAGTTTGGCCCGAAAGCGCGGCCGTTCCCGATGACAGGGACACGCGTCAAGGACATGATGCTTTCGTTTCTACCAGGTTCATGGTCTTCCTCATGGTCCTTCTCACGAAGCATTACCGGCATTGCAAGGAGTGGCTGAAGCTGGTCTTCGAGCAACTGCTGCCGAAACGTGTGAAGCTGCGTGTGAACAACAGCGCCCAATCGGTGCGGGTTCGTCATTGCCTTGTGGACCTCGGGGAGGTGACCCAGCGCTCTGCGTACAAGGAGCGAATGCGGCACTGCAAAAGGCAGGTGCCTCTCAGGTTGCGACAAAAGCTGCGGCTGGAGGAGGTCCTTCATGCACTCTGGCCCTTGAAGGACTTAAGATGGCTGCTGTGGGACCTGATAGATGGGGTCTCTAGGGAGTTGGAGATCGGGGTCCATCTCTCTCAATTTCACAAAGCGCCAGCAGACAAGGATGCCTTTGTCCAATCAGAGGCGGACATGCGGGACCCTCTGGTCCGTCAGAAGAGAATGGAGGCCGCTCTTGGCAAAGCCTGGAATGCCAACAAAAGAAAGGGCAGCAAGGCCCCTCAAACGGAGGCGCAGCGGACACGGCTCCGCATGCAGGCCGAGGCGGCCCGACGCTTCACAAAGACGCTGCAGAGGAAGAAAGAGCGGAGCAGGTACCTCCTTTCCGCACGACGGCTCTTCAACAACGCTCACTTCGTCCACGTGGGCTTGGACGGCGGAAGAGCTGGCGGACGCAAGCGCTGGCTGTACTGTGTGCTGGATGCGGACACCGGGGTTTCTGCATGGGCTCCTCCTCTGCGGTTCCAAGATGGCGGGTACCGTCCCCCTGACTCTGATAAAGGTCCCTCTGCTGCAGAGCAGAAGAGATTGGATGCCAGCAGCTTGCGGTTCCTCGACAGCTTGAAACTCATAGAGGCCACTGCTCCCACAACGGCCCAGCCCGTAGTTGCCAAGCAGACCCGTGGTCCTTCCTATGAGCAAGTGGTGGGCCTCGACCAGACGTTGAAGTGCATGTTTCCTGCTTTGGAGGAGGGTCTTGGGTCCTTCTCGAAGCCAGCTGGGGACAGAGACTTGAGGCTCCTTCCTACCTTGGTCGTGACGTCGGATGCTGGACCGGACCTTCAAAGTGCGTTGCAGTTTCTGCAAAATGGTCTTTCTGTCCGCATGGTCCATCTATGGGAGCCACGGCACAGATTAGCGCGAGAGCTGGAGAACAGCATCGCGCACACGGTCCATCTGAAGTCCTCGCTGGGCGTCGCAGAGATGATCCTGAACTTTTCCCGTGGTCCATGGTCTGGTCATCGCTGGTTTCGGGTCCTCCAGGCTGGGCTTCTTGTCAGTCAGGTATTCCGATCCATTAACTCATAATAAGTACGAAAAAAACACATCCAAATGCAAAGAGAGACTGAGAGTGAGAGAGAGAGAGAGAGAGAGAGAGAGAGAGAGAGAGTGGTGCTAAGTAAGTCGGGAATTCTGAGGAGGAGTGCGTGGACTTTGTGTTGATGTTGGAGGCAAGTGGAACGCCTGAGTCGTCGGCCCTTCTGCACTATTTCCGACCCAGAATTGCCCGTGACCTGGGCTGGAGTGAGGCGGAAACCACCATGGAGCAGTGCCAGGCCCGTCTTCGAGAATGTCGGTTCCTTCATGCGCGAGGTCCTTCCACCACATCCCGGTGGGACAACTTCCACCAAGGATGGAAGTCCCTTCGTCCGGAATTGTCCCTCCTCAGCCTGTTGCTCATCTCCTATGGTGTGAAAATGGGTTTCTTGGGAGGGAAGATGAGCCAGACACGGAACCCCCGTCCATCCATAGAGGCCCCCGAGGAGGACCAGGCGGGGACGATGAAGGGGGAGACTCGACAGAAGCTCTGGGCACGCTGCTCGAACAAGCTGCACTGTGTTTGCATGGCCCTTGTTAACGAGGGCCTTCGCTTCGACCTGGATGCATGGTTCTTCCTGTCGCTTCCACAGTCTGAGGCCCTTCACACGCTCCGAACAGAACTGCAGAGCGGTCCCTGTGGAGCTTTCAAGGCTCAGATGTCGGAATCAGAAGGCGCGGCGCTGGACATTTGCAACCGCATCCTGGAGCAGATGAACTCACCTGACGTGTGGTCCTTCCTTGGCCTGTGGTCTGGAGGTCAGCTGCTGGGAGGGTTCGCTCGCCAGATGGACCTGGCCCATCCTGAAGTCCGGCGCCAGTCGGCCCTGAGAAAGAGAATGCTAGACATGATGCTAGCCCTTCTGCAGCAGAAGCTTCTCTACGCTTCGGTTCCTCTGTTTTCATATCCTCAGCGACTGGTCCTTCTCGCGTCCCCATGTGAGGCCACAGCCAACGCAGCATTGGTTCATCTGTACCGCTCCTATTCCGCGCA